AAAAAAAAAAAAAAACCATTATTTGATTGTATGATGAATTTAAATATTTTTAAATAATACACAAGATGATTTTTGTAGACATACCCATACTACTAAAAAAATATCATTTTTTGGCTTAACGAGCGATAAAATATTTGGTATTTTTCTCTCTTAATTTGACATTGGAATACATGATCAAAAGAATTGTTAACACCAAAACACAAAATCATCATTATTTACTGTAAAAATAAAATTAAAAAATAATAACTTGTTGTGAATATAATTCTATAACCCTATAAATTATAAAAACTGAAATAATTTATTAAACATGATTAGTTTTATAAACATGATAATTTATTAAAGAGTAATAAAAATTAAAGAATAAAAATAATTAAAAAAATCTCACCTAATAGAGTTGGGCCAGTTGGCCGACGGAACTTTGAAAGCAGAGTAACAGAGCCAGAGAAACAATTGCAATTAAAACTTGAAAGCAATAAAGCTGACGGTGGGTCCCTTAGTAATTAGATTAATAAATTAAATATTACTCAATATGTTTATGTCTTTTAGTTGGGCTTTTTGGACATTGTATGTATTTGTTATTGGGCTAAGTGGCTAATTTTAAGATTGTTGAATTTAGTACTGGGCTAAAGTATAAGAATTCAAAACAGGTAATATAATATATATGGGTTGTAGTTGTACCTACCCGGGCTACAGCCCAGGTACATCTAGCTGTAGCTCCGCCCCACTATAGGTGGTTGGCAATCGTCGTCGTAGTTTATTCGAAGTGGTTTGTTGGTTGCGGAAAGGGCTTTATTCTATTTTCTATTGCTTTTAGTGTTTGTTGTTACTTGTTTGCTTTCTCTTTAGTGTTGGTGTTTTTCTTCCAGTTGGGAGAGTTTCATTTTTCTATTTTTTTATTATTGTTTTAGAAGCTTTTATTCTTTGCCAGTGGGGGTTGTATAGTTTTTTGTATTGTGGATGAGTTATTATAGTTGGATCTAGGCTACACTTGTGTAGTCCTCCATCTAGATTCAGTTGGACGACTATATGATTTCTAGTTGGTGTCTAGATGTACATGATACGCAAATTACCTTGAACCGGTTGAACCACAAACCTTCACTAGCCAGATTTCCGACGACCTACAATATCCCGGGAGTGGTGCTCGTGACAAAATCTCCGACGCTCAAGTCCGTTTATGTCCGTGAGATAGAATCAAGAATATGTATGTAAGTCTTATGGGCATATGTGTTGTGTAAAGTAAAGAACCTAGATTCTCTTATATACCTAGGGTAATTTGATGGTTAATAGAGTCTTAGTTAGGAAAGAGATACTCATGTATGCACTTTCTTAACTAGCAAGAGCTGAGAGTCTTTAATAATATGTACTTCCCATCCATGAATGATCATTTCTCCTCTTATTAAACGACTCCAAGGTTTGGAGGTCATCAACCCGACCTCTGCACTTACGTTCAACCAGTCTTATTGTGGTCGTAACTACGACCTCAACTTCACTGGTCATGGGCTCTCTCCTGCAGTCTAGCTCCTTAAGTCTCCCGACCTCCGAGCTACCTGGATCTCCCCGGTACCTGAGCTTCCTTACGGTCTACCGACCTCCGAGCTACTTGGGACTTGTGAAATGTCAATACTAAATCGACTGGAGCTCTCCTAAACCGTTTACGACCGGGCTAACCCTTTTGATCGGCCAACCAAGCTATTAAGGATGCTATATCGATAGTCGATACATATGTGTATCAGTTTCTTTTCACTTCTCAGTTTGATAAATTGTAACCCAGCTTGATAACTAAATCATCTATTGGAACTTGAATTGGTGAAATTGAATTGGTGAAAATGAAAAGAAACTGCTTTATTAAGTTATTTCACCTCTTTTTTTTCTTCATCAATTTTATCAATATATAGTTAAAATTAAAACCTTGTTACATTTGTTTATTATTTTGTTTTTTATTTGCTTACATATTAATAAATACCACTTGTAATTGTCTTATTTACGTCTCTCTGAAATTTTAACCTTTGCTCTATATTTTAGATTGAATTACATCTACACTTTTCAATTTCTACTCCCCAATTTTTTCATACATTTTTTCTAGAAAAAGAAAATAAAAAAATGCCAGAAAGTATATCCAAATCCAATTCGTAAACCAGATAGCTAAAAAAATAAAAAAAAAAATAAAAAAAAAAAAATTATACCCCACATGTTAGCAATTTTAAATACTTTCTAATAATTCCTCAGTTGCTTGTACGCAAAAGTCAAGGACAGCTGCAAAGTGTTGGCTTCATTCATGAGCAAATTAAAAGTCAGATTGAGACTGCGTTGCACAACGGTAACATTTCATGTGGCAATTGGCATCATAGCTTTTCTGGCAAAGATAATAGGGAGGTGCTACAGTATGTTACGAAATTATTACGTTGGGTTTGTAACCGTTAGACCATGTAACCGTCAGAGACAGTTGATCTAACGGTTATAAACCCCGACAAAATAGTTTCGTAACGGGACAGTAATTATGAATTAACAGCTAAAACGGGCTATTTGGGGGCACCAAACAAACAGTGCAATGTTTTGGCCTCAAATTAATATACAAATTTTTCTACTTTCTTATTAATTATTTATAATTTTTTATTTCACAACGAGAATTTTTATTTTCTTTTTTCAATTTTTGTGGCACAACCAACTTTTTTTTTGTAAGGTGCCATACTATTAATATTAATAACAGTAATGATAACGAAGTGCAAAGATAAAAACATAACTAAATTTACAGAACAAAATAAAATTGGCCAACACAGGTCCAGAAAGTCAAATAAATGAGGAATCACATGGACAAGGCTGCTCAAACTCAAACAATGGAACAAATTAAATTGCACAATTTACAGCGAACAATCAACTCACACGAACCTGCCAACGAAGAATGGAACTACCATGTTCGACACTCACACGAGTAAAAAGCATATATGATGATGTCTCTAAAACTAAAATCATCTGAAAACAAACCATCACAAGAAGAGAACAAGCAATTCTACAAGTCCAAACCCTGGATTTAGGCTGCAATAGGAGGATCCTGCACATACAATCAAGAACATGACCCGTAAATTATTAAACCTACGAGAGTCCACACGAGTAGAACAAAAGCAAAGCGCCTGATGGTGAGAGTAAATATGAATACATAAGTTTTCTTACGAAGCACATATATTTCATGAAAGCAAAAAAACCATGTATATTTCACCGGATATATATATATATATATATATAAGGAAATCGACAGGTCATAGAATTACAAAGTCATAATAATCAAAGGAAAACATGTTTAAAACAATCACCTTAGCTGTCAAGTTAGATAATGCTAAATTCCATTTGTCTCTAGTTTTTGTACCAGCTACCTGCCCAGCTTTTGCTACCTTGCTGAAGGCACCATTGAGCCAAGTTGTTCCAGCTGTCACGTACCTGATAAATAGATCATCGTTTGGAGTGTCATATATATATATATATATATATATATATATATATATGAAGAAAAAGAAGAAAAAATATAGAGAAAAACAAAAGAAAGATCCTTCAAACAAGCGCCTCCTTTCATTTAACTTGAGCTTAATTCACTCTACCTGTTGAGTAAATGAAGCCTACCGTATATAGGTCACTTTACCAGCCAACAAAAATATAAGTTGACCAAGTTCAAGCTCATGTTCTAACACTAGGATCCTTGTGAAGTGAAATACAAGCAAATACTCAGGCCAATTAGAAGCATAATTATTGTTCAACGGTTATTTATTTACCCCTTTTCTATGTTTTTTCCCAAGTATAAAAAGAAAACACCATATATCACTAGGCAGAGTTTACACCTGCTTGATTTAACAGCTGATCCAGTATTATTTATCTTCCTTTCTGCTGCCATAAGAGCAGACATGGTTTTATCAGACACTTGAAACTTTTGGTCAACAGATTTCACTTTCTCGTTGACAACTGAGATTCCAACTGTGAGTTTTTCTGACAGACCAACTCTCCGGTCAAGGGAAATCACTCTCGCAGATGCGTTGGCCGTCAACCTATGCTTTTCATCAAAAGCTTTGGCCTTATTTACAGCATCTTGTCTAATCGCTGAACCTTTTGCAAGAACGCTCGAAACAACATCCTGTGCTTTACCAACATACACTCTTCCGTTATTTGGACTCATTTTTCCCTGTAGCCCAAAAAAAAAAAAAAAAGCTTCAATTCATCTTGTCGGTAAAGTTAACCAGATCATAGTCACAACAGTAAATCTAGCATATAGTTTCACCTCAGAAACTGTAGAAGGATTCTCCTGAGACATGCTTAATGCATTGTCAACAATCCTTACTTCCTGGACAAAACGGCACCATAACAATAATTAATAAACGAAGCATTTTGGAAAGACATTATCAAAACCATATACACCATTCTTACCCGAATCTCAGGTTGGGGTACATAATCTGCTGCTGGTGTTATGATAACAACCTGGTCCACTATGGTTGCCCCCTGCAAGACACAATAAAGGAAATGCTTAATCTCTTGAAGTCATATTTTCAGATTTACAGTGTGGAGTGCCAATTTATCATGTCACGACAATTTCAAACAGCACAAAATACCTTCACTCTGCAACAGGAATATAAAGAACAGTAATCAGACTAGTGATAGGTCAAAAACTGAAGATTGGCAGGAAAATAATCAAATATGTCCGATATTACAAAATAAAGTTTCACCAAGTCCAGCAATATGTTTCAAATACAAATAAAACCGTTAAATACCAAATATCAATGCCCCAATCACAAACTACCACCGGACCATGGGAACTTATCTTCTCCCAACTCACCCTCTTATTACCTGAAACTTAGTGGAATAATATAGAATTAACGGTTCCTATAACAACAACAACAACAACAACAACATACCCAGTATATTCCCAACTTAAGGGTTCCTATAACATCAACTGAAACAGCAAATGCTTGTAAAGTGAAGCATAGTACGGCATGCTAGCGATACTTTGAAGACAAGTTAGCAACAATATGTGAAGCAGTTTTCCACTTCACAATTGAGGGGGGAAGACAATATGTCTGCCAACGCCAATGACGGCTTCCAAAACAGAAACTACATATTCAGAAGGTCACAATGATTTAAATCTGGAATAATCTCTGACACTTAAAATTTAATTTTAACCCTCATACACATAGTAACTATATCTCCGCCTAAACTCATCACTAACAACATTTGAACTACTTAATAACTTCTCTTTGTACCTTCCATAAAGCTCATGAATAGACTTTAGTTGCTTTAACTTCCACTTGTTTGAGTTTTATTTTTAGTCAAGATACAGCTATTGCTAATTATAGCTGTCAAACAGCTCAACCAATATTCCAGCTTAGCATTTCTCTTCAATTTAGGGAACACACCATGTGTAAGCATTTGCACTAAAAACAAGCAACTAAATCACTGGAAATAACATAACAATTAGGATTACTATTAAATGAAAATGGAGCTGTATAATTCAAGCAGATTACCGATAACAGCAAAGCAATTTCAAGCGCCTTCGGGTCTTTAAACGTAACAAATGCGGTCTTTGGCTGCCCTGGCTCTCTGCAACCACAAAAAAATAGAACATAGAAATCAAATATGCCGACAATATTTAACGGTTACACAAACAAAGGCAAGCACATAAAGAGAGAGAGACAGAGAGAGAGAGAGAGAGAGAGAGAGAGAGAGAGAGAGAGAGAGACAACGAGCTCACCTTCGGATCTCAATATGTTCAATTTCACCAGAAAACGAAAAGAACTCGTGAATCTCTCTCGCCGTCGCTAGATCTGATACTCTCTTCACCTCAACTGTTCTCGTCTGCTGAAATTCATAGAAAATAATGAAACAATTAAAGCTCAGCAAGTCGATTTTTCACTGGATGCAGCATCACAACGAACACTTACCTGCATTTTTCAGATGAACTTTCTCCCGGATTTGTTCGAAGAATCTTCCAGAAATTGCTCAACAGAGGTAGCTGCGCAAATTCATACGCGGCGCATACAAGTAATTTGATGGTTTTCAGAGCAAATCTTAATACGCAGCCATGGAAGATTCCTAGAGAGAGAGAGAGAGAGAGAGAGAGAGAGAGAGAGAGAGAGAGAGAGAGAGAGAGAGAGAGCAGAGAATGTTGGGGTTGATTTTCAGGAACGTTTGTTTGTGTTGTTTTATCTTTATACCTTGATGAGTTTCATTTTACTGATGTAATATTTAATGTGGCTTGGGAAATGAGGGAAATTTGAGGGCATGCTTGTTTATGGATTTTTTCAATCCAATTTTTTCAACTCAAATATTTAACTCAACTTTAATTCAACCCCACTATCTTTAATATTATTCATACAATTAAATAATAAAAACTAATCATTCTTGCACATCACATCAACTTTAATTCACTATTCATCCACTCACATAATTTTAACTACCAATCATTTCCAATCATTTATCTCCTACTTTATATCAAATCAACTTTAATCATTTTTATTTTAAATATTATTTTAATATATTTTTTAAATTCCACTAACAATTAACCACATTACTTTTTCAACTTTAACTATAGTTAACAAAATGAAATATTTTGGTTGAAAAAATCCATAAACAAGCGCCCCCTGAGTATCTGTCTTGTTTTTGTGTACAGTTTGCTGTTTAAATGTTACTTTCTCTTGTTGCCCAACTGGCATTCAGATGGGTTTGGAATTAGGATACACGCCAATAATGACTATAGTTACGGAAGATAAGATAAGATGCTACGATACAGTTACGAAATCATTTCGTTGCAATTTATAACCTTTAGATCAACTATCTCTGACGTCTACATGATGATCTAACAGTTGCAAACCTCAACAAAATAGTTGGAATTTGTAACCGTTAGATCAACTATCTCTGACGGTTACATAATGATCTAACAGTTACAAACCTCAACGAAATGGTTCCGTAACGGGACCGTAACATTTTTTTTTGGTACAGGGACCTTCCGATTTCCGGATCCACAGGGGAACCGACTAATCTGGAATCGAGCCGGGTAGGACCACAAGGGCGGCAAAGCTCTCCCTCAAGAGTTTTTAACACTGCTGCATTCTCAGGACTCGTAATATTTCTTCAGAATAAGTCGTGTGGGTTAATTATTAAGATCTTTTAGGATTATGTATCCCATTAAAAGTAGGAATGTGTAATGTATCGTTATTTTGCATATCCTCGTCCACCTCTTGTACCGGTCACGAAGCCCTTCAACTGAAATATTCATATCAAATCGGCCCACGGGAGAGACTGTTGATCCTCTTCTTGTCTTGTTTTTAGGCATATGTTACGAGTCAATTAACATTGCCTCAATATGAGACAATAAAAAAAGAGAAGTTTAAAATCCTCCCCCTTGCAAATCTAACCATTTTTTAACCTGTCTTTCTCAACCGGAGGACTTCTCAATTCTTGGAATTCCCTACTTTCCCAATTTAGATGTCAATCGTCGACTGTTCGGCTAGCCGGCAGTCGGCATCCCGCCGCTATGAAAAGGACCTACTCAATGACAATAAAACCCCGACTAGTTCACAATCACTGCATCTAATTTTAGGGCAGTCATTCAGAAGCTCACTGGTCAAGACTTTGGCTTGTTGGGTTCTGTCGGGCTCGAGGTGGGTCGAGGTTGTTCAGGAGCGAGGGGGCGGTGGAGGTGGTGGCGGAGCAGCTGCTCACCGCACCCGATGTCGCCGCTCGAACATGCACGTCGTCCCTTCAATATTGCTCGGCGCAGCCGCATGATGACCCGAAAAGCCACGCGTTGTCCCACCACTGTTGTTCGTCGTCGTCCTCTAACTGACCCCAAATTTCCTTCTTTTTTTTTGAGTGCAATTGGAAAATTGAAGGGAAAAAAAAATAAAGTTGGTGAAATCTGTCTTGATTAATTAATGGTATGTTGTGTTAATCATTCTTGTGGTAAATGTATGCGAAGGGAAGAGGTTGAAATTGTTTTTTGAATTTGCAAATTTCATGAAGAGAAGTGAATTTCGAATTGGGGCAACATTCGAAAACTCAAAATGAAAGACAAAAAGGTAATCTCAGCTTAAACGTTATAATTATCAACTATCAATCAAACAAGTTTATAGGCCTATTCTATACAAATGATAACACCTGAGGGCTGGTGTCTCAATTTATAAATTTAAAATCTAACTCAACTTTAACACAGCCTAATTTTTTTCAATATTATCATATAATTAAATAATATTAATCAATCATTCTTACACATTCTTACATATGTGTCGTGGGCTGGTGTCCCCGACGGATCGTCGCTGGATCGAATCGCGCGTCGCGGTGGTTTGCGGCGGCGGCTCCGACTGATGTGGCGGCGGTCTTAGGCTGTCGGGTCGGCGGGTCGCGGCTTTTGGGTCGTGACTCGTCGGCTCGATTGATCTCCGGGGTTAACGAATATATGTATCTCAATTACCACGAAATCTTCTACTTTATATCTCAAAACACCTCTTCAACTTGTACCAGTGGAGCAACAAGAAGAAGATAAGGCTCGAATGAGAACTACAGAGAGATGGGGCGCGCGGATGGGGCGTGTATTTGTGTCCAACTCTTCTCTTCTCATGAGCTTAATGATGTATATATAAAGCTACAATAGAGGCTCTTAGGAGATTATGAATATGGCTCCTTAATTAATCTATATATATATATATATAATTGTTGGCATATAACATTTAATAAAACCTATTTAATAAAACCTCTAAAATTTTTCGTCCATTTTCGGTTACAAAATTTATCATTAATATTTTTTTACTTCTCACATTAATACATCCTATTGAGTGTAATCATGTATGTTTTTATTATATTATACAATAGTTATTGCTAATACCAACTAATAATAATTTACAATAAATATAAATTATATAATTATAAACAATTGTTTCGAGTTATTTATTTTAACATCAATATTATCTGTTTTTTTTTTTTGTATCTCCTGAATTTTTTTTTTAAAAAAAAAAAACAATTAGTAAATTGTTTTAATAGCATAGTCAAACTTTAGAATCTTATAAACAATTGTTTTTTTAATAATAATAATATAATGATATTATATATATATATAATTGCTAGCTTAGCATTTAATTTTACCTATTTAATAAAATCTCTAAAATTTTCCCTTTATTTTCGGTTACAAAATTTATCATTAATATTTTTTTACTTCTCACATTAATACATCCTATTAAGTGTAATCATGTATTTTTCTATTATATTATATAATAGTTAATGCTAGAATGACATCAAAGGATCGAAAGTTTCTCTCTCCGAGCTCCTTTCTCTCTCCCAAAGAAAAAACAAACCAGATCCCCTTTTCCCGTCACCCCCTAGCCTTCTACCAGGCATCAACTCTCCGTTTTTGGCATGGCCGAGGTCGGAGGATGCCTTTCCGCCCCCAATTTCAGTCGTGCGTGGGTCGATTTTGCAGCGGCTCCCGGAGTTTCTGCGGCGTGGATCTCGTGTCGGCTCGGGTTGGGGTCGTTGTGCCGTTTTTCCTCCTCCTGCCTCGTGCCCTGCCGGGAGTCCTCCATTTGGCCACCTTATCGTGTTTTTGGTTGGAGGCTCCGGAGGCTGAACTTCCTTTCGCGGTCTTGGTGGCGGTAGTGTGTCTCGTCGTTGTCGTTCTTCGCGTGTGCCTTGTCTCTCCGATGCAAATGTTCTATGAAGGCCAGACCTGAACTGAGAATTTACTCCTCGTCAGATCTGTATATGTGACTCAAGTTTCGTCGCAGTTTTTGGGTCTGGATTTCAATTTTCTCCTCTCTTGGGCTTCTGTGCGGTAGACGTTGGCTTGTGCGCTGGTTCGGGCGACTGTGTGTTCTGCGTGATAGGTGTATGGGAGGTCTTATTATTAGTATATGTTTTTAGGTGTGTGTTGTTTTTCTTATCTTTATGTTTTTGTTGGGTTGTTAGTGCAGCTTTGTCTGCTTTTAGTGCATCTTTGTCTGCTGTCAGTGCAGCTTGTCTGCTTTTTTGGAATTTTGTTTTGTAGCAGTTTGCCTCCTTGATGGAGTTTGTACCCCTTGAGTGTGAGGACAAGTGGGTTGGTCCAGTCTTCTGGTTCCAGTGTGTCATTTGACACTTCGATTGTACTCTTTTGAGTTTTTAAGTTATTAATTTAAATGTCGTTTGAAAAAAAAAATATAATAGTTAATGCTAATCCCAACTAATAATAATTCACAATAAATATAAATTACATAATTATACACAATTGGTTCAAGTTATTTTATATTAACATCAATATTATCTTTTTCTTTTGTATCTCATGAAAAAATTTCTTTAAAAACAATTAGTAAATTGTTTTAATAGCATAGTCAACTTTAAAAGCTTATAAACAATTATTTATAATAATAATAATAATAATAATAATAATAATAACAATAATAATAACAATAATAGTAATAATAATAATCAAACTGTTATTATCTAATGGTAATAAACAATTGTTCATAATACTAAAATCGTTAGTTTATGTTTCCTAATGATCAAATTTTTGAAAATGTAATACGTACATTATCTAGAATTTTAATATTTATTCTCAAATATTACTTAAAATATTTTATGCACATTTGTGCATGTGCACATGATATCTACTAGTTAGACTAATTGTTGGCCAAACTCACTCTTCTAATTAATTAAATAATATTATGGGCCACCAACATAATATTATTGCACTCTTTTTTTCTAGCTCAACTTACAATTGATACTCCAATTATAATTAGTTGAATTATCCCCATGTTTACGATATAATGTCCATTAATTAATTCGGTTTAACATAATAGTCCTTCATGAACTCACTTTGGGAACATCATCAAACTAAACGTACATGGTGACCGTAAATATTCTAATAGCACATCATACATACAATAGTATTACCCAAGACCGTAGGAATATTAATTCAGCG